CAGAGACCTTCCCCACCCTTGCTGGAGCTTTCCAGAAGCAGATGAGCTGAGGCTTTGGGTGAGGGGAGAAAGGACCCAGGGACCTGCTGTGCTGGAAGGAATCCACTGTCCCTTTGGCTTTTCCACGCTGTATCTGGTGATGGGCACAAGGCCAGGGTCTGAGAGAGCACCAGTCTGGGGTATCCACATCTGGACAGCTGCACATGTGGCTTCAGACCTGGCAGAAGAGCAAACCGATTGGGCCAGCTCAGGTCTCTCTATTGCCTTTTTGGTGGTCACACTCAGGTCAGGTTTTCCCATCGCTCTCCACAACCACAGGGGCAAGAAGTCAGATTTACTTTCAGTTTGCTGGAAGGAGCTGAGAAGCTCTCTTGCTCCTGGGACAGGGAAGTTCAAAATTTGAGAAAACCACTGGACTTCGCACAACCCTAGCAAAGCCACCAGGCTGGTGGTTCCCTCTGTAGCAGGGACCCTCAGGGACGAAGGAATCTCTAGAGCTTGGGCCAAAATACTTGACGAAATTGGAGTAAGTTCCACCTGGTTTTGCCAGCATAGACTTGCTTCCATCTTTAAAAGCATTCCCTGCCCTTTTCATGACATGCATGTGAAAGAGATGGCAATTTCTTTTTTAGTTTTGGAACTTCCTTAGTGATTTGCCCTTGCAGGAAGATGATGGGAAAGCATTGGGAACATCTGGTCCCCTCTGATGGAAACTACCTCCATCATCTGCCTGGGTTCTTCTACCCTGATGGTCATTCCTCTCTCCTGGGTGAAGCACCTGGAAACTTCCCATTTCAGCCCAGCCCCATGTGTGTTGCCCTGCAGGGTGAAGGTGTCCCTCATGGGGAAGGGGGCCCACGCACCAGAAGGTACAAGGCTGGAGCAGCTCAGTAGGCTCACATAGTCCCTCTATGTGAGGAAACATGACTCTTTGGTGGGACTGGGACAGATCCCATCTGCGGATCAGGGAGGCTGCGCTCAGGCTCGTGGAGGAGGAGAGGTCTGGGGTGCTCAGACCCTGGTGAGCCAAGCCCTCTCTGGCAACTGGCTCTGGAGGCTCAGCAGTGGCCGTGGGGAGAGGAGGTGTCCTGCACACTCTCTGTGACCAGCAGTGTGGTTGTTAGAATGGCTGCCTGGCAGCTGGTTCCCAGTTAGGGAAGCATGGGGACACTGTTTTTGTAACCACAGGCACACTGGCATCTTGCCTGTGGCTCCCGGACACTCAGGGAGGGAAGCCACAGAGCAGATCTTGAAGGCTGGTATTGCGTTGGGAGCCAGCTGGCCCCAGGAGGGAGTGAGCTCCTGCAGCCAAGAAGCCTGTGCCCTGGAGCTGCCTGCACCCTGGAGCTGCCTGCGCCCAGAGCATGCTGCCTGCACCCCAAAGCACCCCTACAGCACAGTGCTTGTACCCCTGACCATGCCACCCACAAAGCCACCAAGATCAAGGGATCTGTTTGTTTTCCCCTGAATGTCCCAGAGTCCCAAGCTCAGACAGGGTCTCTGCAGAACCAAACAGCGCCAGGCATTGTGGCTTGCCAGGCCCAGTGGCCAGGCTGTGCTGGGAGTGTCACCCTGGCTGTGCTGGCATTATTGGTGTACCATTTCACAGTGCTATGTTCCCAAAATGGGGGCGCAAAGGAAGAGCAAGCTGCAGCTTTTGCAGCCCTGGGATGCTCAGAGCCTGGTTCCTTGCTGGGGGATATGAGATGTGCTTGGGGGCAAACTCCTCTGCCCTGCATCCCCTGACTGCATCATCAAACACACCTTGTCCTCACTCTGGTACCTTCCCCATCTCTGCCTGACCATGGGACCTGTGTGTTGGGATCCAGTTGCTGCAGCGCAGGGGCCCGGGGATTAGTAAGCAGGGGAGCAAAAGGGCCGGTGTGGTGCTAGGAGAGCTCAGCGGTGAGTCAGTCATCACCCCAGGCAGCCCTGAGATCACAGCCACCTGCAAAGCCACCCCTGGGAGGTGGGAAGCCAATGCCACCTACAAAGTGCTGAAGAATGATGGATGTGCAGAGCTCCACTATCCTGAGCAGCACAGCCATGGGGACACAGGGTTTTGGCCAGCCTGGGAGGGAGAGAGGAGACAGGGTGGCCAGAGAACTCTGGGGCGGGGAGGAGGTCTGGCTAGTGCCTGGGGCAAAGGGTGAAGAGCATGGTGGCCATCTGCCCTGCTGTCCCTGCTGCGATAGCAGAAGGAGCCACACAGGTGCCGCAAGATCACAGAAGCTTCCACACTTCTCTCCATTACCTTCAGCACCCTCCTCTTCTCCCCAGCCCCTAAAACACAGCTAGCTGCAGGGGCAAGGATCCCATCCACCCAGTCCCTCCTGGAGGGGCAAAGTCAGCCCTCCTGCCCGGGGGGTGGAGAAGGGCAGAGCATCCGTCACAGCTGACCCTGCTCCCCGCTGCCTGCGGGAGCGTTATGAAACGAAGACACGGGCCGCTCCCCACTGGGCCTGGGGCACTTGCTTCCTTCCAGCCTGGTATTTTCCTCCTCGATTTGGATTGGGTTTTTTTTTTAATTCACCTTTTTTTTTTTCATAGCCCTAAGGGGTGCGCAGCCGTGGGAGGAGCGGAGAAGTTATCAGCCAGGAGATACCAGCAGCATGATTCACTGCCTGGCCCCCGCAGGCTGCTGTAGCCAGATGGGTGCCCTCCCCACCACCAGAGTGAGGTGCCGTTTGAGGACCCTCATTGCATGTCCTGTCCTCGCTGCCTTCCCTTCTCCCTGCTCTCTGGCCCCACCATCCTTTCCCGGGAGTGTGGGGGGTAGCAGCACAGCCCCCTGCCCTGGCACGGCCAAGGGCATGGAGCCAATAGCTGGGATTCCCACAAGATGGATGGGGTCCAGAGAGTGTCCAGCTGGGCAGAAGCCTCCCAGCAGCCACCTTGCAAAGTTCTGGGTTGCCAGTGGGGGGTCCCCACCTCCTGCCTGTCAGCAAACAGCTCCTAGGGCTGTTATTATGTATGGCAGCAGAGCACTGGGGAGACAATCTTGCACAAGTGGGTAGGTAGTACCGAGGGACCCCCTTCATCCTTCTGGCACCCTGCAGGAGCAGAGAGGCCTGGGCAGCAGGAAGAGCAGGCTGCTGCACCCCAAAATATCCTGTACTGTCTCCAATCCACTTTTATTCACAATCAGAAAATAACTTACCATACAATAACACAGGCACGCACAGCACAGCCCTGGGCACTCTCCCCTCTGCCACAATGCTACAGCCAAAGCCGGCCCAAGCTCTGCCCCAGCAGAGGCGAATCCCAGCCCGGGCAGCTGTGCCCCGTCTCCATCCCACAGGATGCTCCATCCCCATTCCGCTCAAAGCACGGCCTTGTATGTGGCTGGAGGAACCTGTGCACGGTGCCAGTGTGTGTGTCCCCTCCCCTCCCACCCTGGGGTCCCCATGCCCTGCTGTCCCCCACCCCACCCCGCCCTGTCCCGCTGGGTGCCAGCGGGTGCTCCCCCACCCCTGTGCCCACCCTCCGCCCCCCTGAGCGGTGCTGGTGTCGGCGGTCTGTACAGCATGGCCGTGTGCTCCCTGGGGCCAGGAGCTTTGGTGCTCTCGTGTGGGGCTGGGCAGGCAGCAGGCAGCTTGCAGCCCTGCCCTCCCCGGGTGACAACAAAGTGCTGATTTTGGAGGGTGCCGAGCATCTCCTCTCCCGCTCCCCTCAGAGCGGAGGGAAGCAGGTACCGCAGCTCCATCTCCCCCCCCAGCGTTGATCCCCATCTCCCTCCCCCCCTGCGGGCAGGCGTGCTTGTCCCTGGCACCCTGGGGCGGGCACCCATCCCTGCCCGGCTACTTGCAGACGCTGACCCACTCGGTGATGCGACACTCCTCGCAGGCCACAAAGCAGCACCAGTGGAACTTGCAGTTGCAGCGCTCGCTGCGCGTCTGCCGCAGGATGTTGTGCCCGCGGCCACAGCACAGGCTCTCGCAGTTGTCCATGCCTGGGCTGGTCTTGTTGCACAGGCGCCCTTGGGTGCCTAAAGAGTCCAGGGCTGGTTCTCGCTCACAGAAGTCGGGTGACTTCTCAAAGTAAACCAGCTCACTGATGCCAGCCCGGCGGCGATGCCGAGCGTGGCCAGGCTCCAGCTGCCCAGCATTGCGGTTGTGGGGCCGGATGAGGGTGGCCCCGTAGAAGCGGTCCTTCAGCAGGGATCCCACCAGGCGAAACTCGGGCGTCACCTGCCAACACGTCTTCAGCTGGCAGCTCCCCGAGGTGCCGTGGCATTTGCACTTCCTCCTCATGTTGTCCATCACCACCTGGGTGGGGAGGGAAGGACAGAGGGGTTAGCATGGAAAAGATGTTTCTTGGAGACCAGGGAAGCCATCATTGAGCTCTTTGTGGGTTGGCATTACAGGAACACCAAGGACTGGCACCAGAGCCCTGGAGCTGCACAGTCTTGCTGTGCCCAGCATCACCCATGTCCCACCCCTGTCCCTTTCCATCCTGGCAATACCAACTGGCTTTTATGCTCCAGCAAGGGATCAGCACCTAAAGGAGGGGGTGAGACACCTGACCACAGGGAGGAAAAGGAGCCTGGCTCTCATCTTCCACTGCTGCTTGGCTCCAGCAGCATCAGCATGACCCAGCATGGCTGCATCTTTGCAGCACTACTGGGACCCCCAAGTGCAGGGGTCCCCCATGCACCTCACTGGCCAGGAGCACAGCAAGCAGGGCAGGTGGGAGGGGGGATGCTTTCCCCTCCCCAGGGCTTTTCTTCCATAAAGCCCCAGCTCCGGGAGTCCCAGGAGCAGCTCTGCTTTCAGCTCTTGCTTGCTTTCTTGCAGGAACCTTGAGCACAGTGACAGGGGACTGAGACACTGTCTACCACCACCACCCAAATTTCAAGCAGGGATTGGAGATGCCCACAGCATTGACTTGTGGTTTTGGGACGCCACAGTGAGGACAGTGCCACACGTCCACTCCCCATGAGGACCAGGATGTGTGGGCTGGGCTGTGGCTGTGGTTTGGGCTGGCTGGGGAGTGCGGCTCGTGCAGAGGCCAGAGGTCAGTGCAGGGCAAAGAGGATCCTGGGCTCCCTGGGCAGTGATGCTGAGCATGCAGGCTGTGTGCTGGGACCCCCTATGTCCTCCATCCCTTGCAAGGGAGCTGCTGTGGCCATGCCAAAGGAAACAGCTCATGCCCAGCAATCTCCAGGGGCACAGAGTGGCTGTACATCTCTGCACAGCCTAGAAAGAGGCAGTTTATACCTCTTTCTGTCCTCTGTCCTGTCCTGACTGGGATTCCCTGCTGGGTCGTGTGCCCCCATGCCCACGTGTTCACACAAGCTCCAAGTCCCCTTCCCATGGGGACACCCAAGCCCCACCCAGAGCCAAACTGGGGCTTGCAAAGACTATAGCAGTCTGATCCCCCCACCCAGGGTCATGCTCCAGGGCTCGGGGGAGCTCAGGGGACATGTGGCCCTGCACAAGGTCCCATCCCATGATGCCAGCCCTGCCCAGCCACCCAGTTTCATGCCTGACACGTGCTGCCTGTTTCTGCCCCCCTCCCTGGGGGGGTATGCGGGTGCGAGGAGTGCCTTGCTTTGGTAGGGGTACATAGTTTTTACTCCTTGTTTTCTTGTTTTTGAGTAAATCTCCCCGTTGCTAAGCAGTTATGGTAATGAAGACAGGTCAGGGAAACAGCCTGGAGCTCACGGCACACAGAGAGGTGTGGGCTGGGCTGGAGTTTGGCTTCCATCCTGCTAAGAGTCCTGTCTCCTGCCGGGAACAGCCTCCACCTCACAGGTAATGAGCTGCCTGGCCTCTCCGCTGTGCCCTGGGTGTGCCGGTCGGGAACACCAGCTGCTCGACACCATCCTTGCCACCACCCACGGGAACATGCTGGTCCTGGGACCCCATCCTTTCCCATATCCCCTCCCTGATCCCTTGGCTGGACCAGGGAAAATCTGCATATAGGGCTGTGGCTGGGATGGTCACCACCAGGATGGAGGGGACAGCGGTGTGACAGCTGGACAGGGGCTCATTTGTGGCTACACCTGGTCACATCAGGGGCTGGAGAAGGGAGCGTGTGTGAGCGCCATCTCCATCACTCAAGCCATTGCTGCTGATCATCCCGAGCCCCAGCACCACAGCACCCATCCATCCCTGCACAGGGATGGCTTGTTCTCCCTCCTGTATGGACAGCACAGGGGAGACAGGACCCTGCCAGAGCCAGCAGACCCGAGAAGGACCCATGAGAGCTTTGGCCCCATATTTTTGCCATCAGATCTCTTCCACGCACCCCTACCCGGCCATGTCCTTCCCCCATCTCACAGACACCCAGGTTCAGCACATGTCCGGACTCGCTGATGCTTTCTTTCGCACATTCCCAGCTCCTCCCAGACACACTCATAAGAGCTTTATCGTAGGTCTTTGTTGTGAGGGTAATGGGTAGTTCTTGGCTGCCTTTCATCCTCTCTTGCTCTCTGATCTGGCGGTTTAGGAGGACATGCAAAGCCTCTTGTGCACTCCTGCTGCTCCTCACTGGGGAACTTGCTCCCTCCCAGAGATGCAGGACACCCACCCCAGTCTTGTTGGAATAGGATGTTGCCCCAGGGCTTCCTATTCCAACACAAGACCGAGGTGACCACTGACACAGTTGGAGGATGCTGTGCATCCTCTGCAGCTGCAATCCCTTCTCTGGCCTTTGTAGCTGGATGCAAAAGAGGAAAAATATCAGTGTGTTTCTGCCTGGTTTCGAACCAGGGACCTTCCGCGTGTCAGGCGAACGTGATAACCACTACACTACAGAAACCCACATTTTATGGTCACTGGATGTGATCATCGGTGGGATTGTCACCTCCTCCTGGCACTGCAGAGTCTCAGCTGGGAGCCAGACTAACCCATGCACAGAGCCACCCTTGGGACACACAGCCACTGCAGAGATGATGCTTAGCATCAGTGAGATGCTGGAGAGCCCTGGGTGCCGCAGCTGCTCGGTTCACAGAGAGGGATGACATGTGGCAGGGCACAGCATGTGGGCTGTGTGTCCACATCATGGCTCTGCTCAAGGGGTTCAAGCCCTGGGACTTGGAGGGGAGGGAAATCCCAGTAGACTGCTCCTTATTACAGCAGAAAGATGGTCCTGGGAGTGAGGAGGGCTTGGGCAGGTGTGGGACCACGGCACTGCTAAAAGAGCAGGTGGGGAGCTGGAGAACCCATCCCCAGGCAATGTGGATCCAGCCCTGGCAATAAGCATGGCACCAACAGGCATATGGACCAGGCACAGCATCATCTCCTTGCTCCAACACATGGCACACAGCCCGACCAGCACATGGGCTCACACCCTCATCTCAGCAGGGTCCCTGGGCTGGGGGCAGTCTGTCCAGCCTCCCCACCTGCACTGGTACCATACCCTCTTTATCCCCTTGGTCCTGCTCTGCCTTGGCTTCCAGATTCCATGCTTCTTCCATCAGTCCAGCTCTTGTCTCTGAAGCCACCAAAAGCTGACATTGCCAGTTCCATGCCTGCCTGCCCTTGGGGACAAGCAGACCCCAGGAATTTTTGCTGTTGCCAGATCCCACAGGCACCACACAGTGACATCCTCCTGTGCAAATATTCCTCTCACCTTCCCCTCCTTCTATGGGGGACTGTGGGGCTTTCCTTGGGAAACGAGCAGTACAGACCCCAAATTTATGAGTGCTGCCAAGAGTCCCAGTGGTTTGGGGCATGCAGAGCTGGAGGGGAGCTAGGATGATCCCTGTAACCAGAATTGGGATGGGGGCGCTTTCCTGGCTTGGGGCAGAGGAGCCTGTGGAGGATTTAGCTGCTTGAAACTGAGTGAGCCTTCACCACACAGAAGCAAACAAAGCCAAACAAGCAAAAAGTTATGGCTTTCCCCAGGCACTTACAGCTTGGCCAAACTGGGACAGCTTTTCTGGATGGTAAAGCTCAGCTCCAGCACCAGGGAAGGGCACACATCAAGGTCCTGCTCTGCAGCATCCCCATCTCACAGCTGGCTTTAAACATGCTCAAAGCAAGAGGCACATCCAAATATCTGAGCCATCCCGGGGTAACGCTCCCTGTGGAATTCTGATATTTAATTACTCATTCCCACAGCCATACACATACCCTGTGCTGCCTTGGCAGCATGTGGCTGAGCTCTTGGGGACAAATGTTCCACTGGATCTGTGGGATGGGGTCCCCCTGGCACCTGCTGGGAGCAAAACTGGACAGGGAAATGCAGCCCTCCTCCCAGCCCCTCCTGCCTGCATGCTTCTTGTCTCCAATGTCAGGCTGCTTTTAAACATCAGCTTCCAGACAGTGAGCTACTAATTAGCACCTTTAACGAGACTTGACATCATGAGAATGGAGGGGAGGCTGCCCTGCTCGCCTGGGCAAGCTCCAGCACCCCCCTGGAGCCAGAGGACAGGCTGTGGGCTGTCACCTCTGCTGCCAAAGGGATGCTGCACTTCCCAGCTGGCACAGATGCCCACTGCCTGGCTCAGTCCCACTCACATCTGCCTCCTCGGGGCACTGGCTCCCTCTCCGGAGGCAGAGCTGTGGCTGGGTGCTGTGGAACCTGTGCTGTGTCCTCATGATGCTAGTGGCTTTCTCCTCCCTGTCTGTAGCTCCTTCGCACTGGCACTACCTGACACTAGTTTACCCAGTCCCTGAGGGGCAGGAGCTAAACTCATCACTGTGCCACTCCTGTAGCACTGCTGCAGCACAGGCAGGTGACAGTGGCCTGGGGAAGCGTCCCTTAGTAAGGGGACAGCAATGATGCTCAGAGGTGCCCTCCCCAGCAGATGCTCCACAGCAGAACTTCGACATTGCCTTTTCTCCAGGCAAAACTGTGGAGAGGGAGTGCCTTGGGGACAATCCCAGCCTTGCACATGTCCCACTACAGCCAGTACAAGTCCCCTGGAGCCCTCCTGCATGTCTCCCAGGGACACTGTCCCTGCCACCATCACCCTGCACCCCTGCCCAGAGCCCTGCTCACCTGCCGGCCCACGCGGTTGTTGTGCAGCCTCATGCGGGAGTGGATGTCCCTGTAGGTTTCCCGGGAATCGAGGAAATCCTTGGAAAATTTCTCCCCATAGTCCACATCAGGGCTGCACCCTCCCCATTCCCAGGAGTCCTGGAGGCCAGGGGTCTCGGCCGGCATGTGTTCCATGTGCACCCCATGCACCATGCCTTTGCCACGGTTCATGGCCTCCAGCTGGAGACGATGCAACTTGCGCCGAAAAGCCTCCTCATCGCCCCGGCGCTTCTGGTCGCAGCCGCAGGCCTGCAGCTTGCCGAGGGCGCAGGCGTTGGAGACAGCGTGCACCACGCCAGCAGCTGCAATGGCATAGGCAAAGGCGCTCTCCCGAAAGCCTGCAAAGAAGGAGAGAGAGGGGCTTAGGCTGGGTGGTACGAATCCCTGCGGGGGGCTGGATGAGCCCAGCATCATGCCGGGGAGTAAGGAGCCAGAGGTTCAGCTTGTGCCTTGCCTTGTCCTGATCCACCAGCTCCCCCCTGGACCATGAGCGAGTCCTCACTCGGTGCTCTCCAGCCCCATCCCCACCAGGACACATTGCTGCCCTGAAGCCCAGCCCTGCCCTGGCTGGGACCCCCTCTCCTACTACTACCCTGCACTCACATCACCCCAGGAGATGCCACCGCAGCATTGCTCAGGCATTAGCATTATGGCTCTGATGGGAAAGGCAGTATCTCCTCCCTCCTCCACTCAGAGCTTCCCACTGTATTAAGTATAACGCTGGCTGAGGAATACTTCTGCTGAGGAATGGGCCATTTCTGCTTGCCCACATGGTGCAGCACTGCCTGTCCAGCTCCATGTGTCTGCCCATGCCTCTTCCCTCCCACAAGCCATGTCAGCTCCCACAAGAAGCTCTAAATGAGATACCGTGCTGGAAAAATCGAGCATCCCTAGTTAGTTAGAGCATGCCACAACCACACCACACTCTGCCAGGGCCAGCAGCTGGTTGTCGTTAAACACTGGGGAGCGAGGATGTCCGCAAGTGTCATTAGCTTGGGATGGGGTGGATAGGGACAGGGACGGGTCCCACAGCAGAGCCTCCACAGGGCTGCAAGCAGTGTCTGCCCAAGGGGCACTTGGCTTTGCTGCAGCTGAGTGAAGAGCCTCCCGTACCTGGGAACTTCTATTTTATTTTAAATGCAAAGTAATATTTTTATTTGTAATTCCCAGGCCAAGCAGGGAGCCCTCAGTGCCCTTGGCATCGGTGTGCAGCGACCGGCCCCAGCACAAAGAGGAGAAGGAAGGAGAGTCAGATTTTGTGCTGAGGCTTCACACGTGAATAAACAGCTGGAGTTCACCAGCCTCTCTCCCTCTGTTGAACAAGAGCAGTTTGATCAGCCCTGGCTTTGCTATGGCTGAGCAGATGAGAGGTTTGGGGGCATTTCCTCCAGCAGGTCCTTGCCATCAAACGGAGTTTGGGAGAGCACCACAAAGCACAGATCCCAGGCAGGGGCTCTGCCAGCTCCCTGCCTGCACCACAGAGTCACGAGAGGTGAGAGCACAACCGCTCCCTGCCACCCTTGCCCATCCTGGGCAATGCTCCTCATCACGTATGTTTCCTTGGTGGTTCGCTGCTGCCCGCCGAGCAAATGCTATGATCTTATTAAAGGGAAATGAAACGTAGCTCAGAAACCTGCATTTAAAGTCATGCTGCTCTTTTGTGTGTTAATTTGACACTGGTGCATTTAAAAAATTAACGAGGCGCTGCTTAAAAGCCAGTGGGAGCCTCTCCCAGCTTCCCCTCGGTGTGGGACAAGCTTGCTCTCAGCCTGCCTCTTTCCATGCACAAGTTGAACAACATTTTTCAGCAGGCAGGTAATGGGGCTGCTGGTGCGTATGCTGCACAGCCTCCCTGGGGAGAGCGCTGGCAGACAGTGCCTGCAACACACCCACATGGCTGTTAGAGCAGGGCAGCCCAAATACGGGGAACTTCAGTCCCCAGGTGAGCGATGCAGGATGGAGAACGAGCACAGGAAGGTCTCCTGGATCCTCAAATCCTCCCCGTATCAGTTCTCCATCCCCATGATCTGGGCCAGCTCCAGCCCTTCATGAGCCAAACCTGTGCACAGCTGAAGAGCAGGGACCTGTCGCTGCCACCCCACTCAGCATCCCCAGCTCCTCACACACCCAGTGCCTGGGGACAGCAGCAGTAAACCCTCCACCCAGCATGAGTCTTAGTCCTGCCTTTCCGTTAGCCTCTTTCTCACACATTTTCCCAGCCTAACAAATAATTTCCCATGTGGCTTCTCCTTAAAATCCCTTCTGGAGTCCAGACAGAAGCTCTACCCCACCCAGTCCATCTAGCAAACCTGTCTCCTTGCAGGTAAAGAAGCTGGGTTCATTTGGTGCCCTCCACAGCTGGGAAACCCCTGAGGTCAAGCCCCAGCCCTCCTCCTTCCTCTGCTGCTCTCCAGCCATGTACCAGCTGATGGGAGGGAAGAGGCATGGGTCCTCATCCATGGAGCTGCCATTCCGCAGGCTGTGGGCAGTGGGTGGACTGGTCCCCAGGACTTGACATCCCAGGGCTCTAGGCGTCCTGGTCTTTTCCCTGCTCAGTATCACACTGCCTGGCTCTGCCACTTCTCAATGCCTTCCCATCTCCCTCCCTCACCCCACACTGATGGGGAGCTGTGAGCAATGAGGAGAAGGAGGCAAGGGCAGCACCAGGACCACAGCAGCCATGCCAGTGCGATTCTGCTTGGAGGTTCAGCTTACGTCCCTCGCTCTACCCTGGCCACGCCAGTGCCTGAAGGACTACAGCAAAGCAGAGAGCAACATGGCTGGAGGTGACAACCACCAGCTTCTTGCGTTTGGCAAGGGTGGGAGCCTCCAGGAACCACAGCCAAGCGCAGCGTGCAGCACCTGGCCCTGAGTCCTTTGGAGGGAGGCTCTCCGGCTACCCCAGACACCTAAGAGCTCAGCAGTGACATTTGAGTCACCAAATCCCTTCAGAGACCACAGAAGAGGTTGTAGCCATGGGAGTATGAGGAGAAGTATTGCATCCTGCAGGGAAGAAGGAACGGAGGGCATCACCCTAAACACCTCTACCAGCATCCAGCCTGCCATGTACTTAAAGGACCGTGATGGGCAAGGATTGACCTGAAATCTCGACTCCAGGTCAGATCTCAAAGTGGCTTTCTTAGAAGGGGAAAATTTTCCCTGTCTAGATGCACCTAGGAGATGGGGATCGATTTAGCCAGACACCAAGCTCCAGCTGGCACTGGTTCTGCCATGGATGCTGCAGTTTCTCCATCTCTCACGTGGATGTGGGATGAAGGCAACAGACCTGACTCAAACACAGCTGTGGGCTCCATGGTCTGTTGGGGTAGGGAGAGCTGGAGTCATGGCCTTCCTCCCTCTGCCCACCATCGCACCCAGGCAGCTACAGCCTCCCAGAACCTGTCATTGTGGCACCCGGGTGCCACTGAGGAAGCAGCTGGGACAGTCTGGTCTGGGTGCACCCTGGGGTACCTCAGGGATGCTCATGGCCAGCACTCTTCAGGAGTTAGGAGCAGCTGCCAAGATCTGTGGGGACATCGCCCTGGCCCTGCAGGCTGGCGAGGTGGAGGAGAGCTTCTCCCGCCACCTCCTGCGAGGCCCACAGAGACGGCCAGTCCCAACACGCCGCCTCTCCCCCCAGCCCCGCCCCCTC